AAAAATAATCTTTTTTTCATATTTCTCACAGATGTATGAAATTACCACAGTGTGCCTAAGATGAGACCTTTAAAAACAAATTTTAAGTAACTGATAAAACAATCTACAGGAAAAAGGAAACTATTGGAGCTGTTTCTCTATTACCAATTGATTATTTAATTGATTACAAACCAAACTTACTGGTTTTCAAAATCCATTAATCTAAAAAATCTCTTGAATTCAGCCAAAATGGGTACAGGAGGTACATTAGAAATCCATTTAAAAACATAAATAACATTGTAAATAGAAAACTCATAAACTACTGATGAAGAAGAATGAGAAACTAGCTCTTAAAATTACCACTTAATAGCAGGTTAACCAAGAATCCATATACTCCTCAAGTAATTGTGTTTCTACTATATCAGGACAAAAAGGAATTAATAACTTTTTTCACATGACGTTAAATATTTAGGCATGTAAATTTCAAAACCAAACTCAGATGGTACATTTTTTATTTTAAATTGTTTATAAATTTGGAATATCGTATATGCAATCTAAATGATAGCCAGGAAGGCTGTCTCACCTTATGTCTCTACTATTGAATATTAATGTAGAAACTTATTTGTACAGTATTGATAGTTCATTGGCTTCAACTCTCTTTAAAGAAATGAGAGTAAGGGGTACCTGGGTTGCTCATTTGATTAAGTGTCTGTCTTCAGCTCAGGTCATGATCTCTCAGTTCACGAGTTTGAGCCCCACGTCAGGCTCTGTGCTGACAGCTCAGAGCCTGGAGCCTGCTTCGGATTCTGTGTCTCCCTCACCTTCTGCCCCTCCCCCACTCTCTCTCTCTCAAAAATAAATAAACATTAAAAAATTAATAAAAAAAAAGAAATGAGAGTAAAGGCCATCAAATGCCAGAGATAAAATTAAATATTCTTCTGTTCATATAGAGGTAGAAAAAATGAGAATATGTTGAAGATGTTTATAACTTTGAGTCAAATTTGAAATAAAAAATGAGAATTCTGCCGGGGCACCTGGGTGGCTCAGTTATTTAAGCTTCTGACTTCAGCTCGGGTTACAATCTCACAGTTTGTGAGTTCAAGCCCCACATCAGGCTCTCTACCTTCAGCAGAGGCTGCTTCAAATTCTCTGTTTCCCTCTCCCTTTGCCCATCCCCAGCTCATGCTCACTCTCTCGCTTTCTCTCAAATAAACATTTAAAAAAAAAATGAGAGCTCAGTTATTATTACTGTTCAGTACTGTGAATCATATTAATGATATTGTGTGGTGGCCATTTTACATTGTTTAGAAGTAACTAGGGGTCACTATTTTTTTATTTGTCTTGAACAAAAATAAAAACCAGATTTGAGAAATCCCAGGAATATATGTGAGTACAGATGTTTTCTCATGGAAAGGGTGATAACATGCAAGAACAGCATTCCTGTAATCTCATATACAGGTGATTTTTCATGATTTCTTGTCCTTAATGAATCTATTATACATGGTTACATTGTAACTTGTATCAATTATATATCTTGTGTTTCCCTTTTACTTTTTAAGAATCCTGTCCCAGAAACCAAATTACTATAAGTTAGTCAAATTCAAGGGGGTAAAGTTCCCAACATTAGAAACTGTCTAAAAACCATGTGATTACAGTTTACTATTTAGATTTGGTGTTTCTGGGTACAAGTTTGACTTATTTTTGGTAAATGAAATTTCCATATTCACAGTGAAAAAGATTTACATGAGAGTTTGGAAACCAGTTAACTCATCCTGAACAAGAGTGCCAGAGGTTAATGTGTGGAAGAACTGGAAATTTTGAATCTGTTAATACAGAAGAAATCAAATAATTTTGAATTCATCCAGATTTAAAGGCTGTGAATTTTTTTTCTTGCTAACAAAGTCCAGGGTGAATAAATTAATATTTATCTTTTAATCCATAATATGTGAATGTGATTTGAATTATAGAATTCTATCATGTATCTCACCGAGTGATCATAGAATCATTTTCTTTTAGAGCATTTCTCATTGCTTCATATTCATTTAAAAAGCTATAACTTTCTTCATACTTTTCATCCTCATAAATAATAAGGATCTTCATGAACAGAGGAAAATATTTAAATATGCACATACATTATGCTATTTTTGAACTGTGTTAAACTAAGTAAAACATTCATAACCATTTCTATCAATAGCATTTTTCCAAGACCATTTAATTTTTTTAATTTTTAATTGTAAACTGTATATTAATTCACAAGCTTCTAATGTTTCAGGGGAGGCATATGTACACATTATCTTAAATAAAAACCAGGTCCATGTCTAACCGTAATGAAAATATAAATTAAACTTAAAAAACAAAAAGATTAATAAAACCCATAAAAACTTTAAGCTAACAATTACAAATGAATATTTTCCCTTCTACAACATGTAAGAGCCAAACATTTCTGTTTTACTTACAATGAACTGACTTCATTGTAAACTTACTGTGTGAAATATTGTTTTGTTTTCTAGTCCAGTCATTTTTGACACTTGACAGAGTGTTACTTGTTGAGAGGATTTGTAGTACGTTTGAGCCAACATCAGAAAGAGGAAGAAAATATTTAAAGGTTTTTAAACTAAGGCTCTAAGTTAAAAGATGAAATAAATTCACCCTACAATTTCTAAACAATACAAAGTCTCCCTTCCATCCTTTGTAATATTACATTTAATGAGAAACTAAGTCTTGAAAATGCAAATAGTGCATTTTTAAATTCAAAAGTCAAGGTAGACAATTTTAAGTGTATAAGTTCAGTAATTATCCTGCTCATAATTTGTTCCATCTTAGCTTAAAAATTTTAACAATATCAAGAGCATAAGAGTATACAGAACCTGAAATAAATGCTCATATCTGTTGAAATCTGACCTGTGCCCCTTTTAGTTTTTATTAACTTCTCTTTTTCACATAAATGTAAATTCATATAGATATATAATTAATGGAATAGTATGTTCATGGTGAATGAAATGAGAAGTCATATATCTGTTTATCTTTAAGAGGTTATACGTGTTCATTAAAACAAATGCTTTCCAATGCCCTTTTTCTTTTTTTTTTTTTTTTTTTTTTTTTTTT